AGTTTATTGTTCATAAACAAGTTAAATGAGAATGTGTTCATCTGTTGCGGGTGTAGATTATTAAAAAAAATCTTTTAATTTAAACTACAAACAACAGGATCAACACAATGCAAATCGTAAATTTATGAATTGGAATATTACGAAGGGACTATCCCATCAGCAAATAATAAAAATGAAGTAAGTTTATTGAGAAATGTTTTTTTTTTACGAGGAAAAATTCACTAAATGAAAAATATATTGAAAGTATTACTTTGGCAAGTTGTTTGTATTTGATTGAAGATAATAACATTCAATGATGCTTTGTTTATGCAATTGTTTGCCCTCCCAGGATAGAATGATAGAGTCCAGCTACTTGATGAATCTATCTTCTTTCATTCGAAAAAGTTTCCATTGTAGAACATTGAAGGACCAATAAAATGAAGCTCTTATTGTGTATGAAGTCATGTTGATGTTTAAAAAGATTGGATTGTTTTAAATAAACCGAAAATGTCGATATGGAGCTCAATGTATTAATGGTAGTCATTGGTGAATACTCTTCTAACGAACATCAACTATGATATAAGTTTATCGATGATATTAGAGCTAACTTTTTACCGTTACGCTCACATAATATTTCTATATCTATCTGCATCGTGAGATATATTTTTTTTCTTCTCTTTATTGCACATACAACGAAGATAGTATTGATCATCGCAGTTCAAGTTCCCTTTTTTTCATTCTTTTTTATGAAAGAGAGAAAATTGTATAAACGTGAGTGTTTGTGAGTGGATTCGTTGAACCATGAAGAAATCGGTCAATTTCACCCGTTGGTTTGTTGAACATAGTATTGATCGTATCCTAACCGTTCCCCAGCGACCATTCATTGAATTTTTTCAGGCGACGGGAGCCATCAAAAGAATGTATTTCTCCAATTTATATGAGTGTATTTAATCTATGAAAACCGGTTAGAACAAAAGACAAGTGGACTGAAAAGAGGCAACGAAATGCACAATAAGCCGGTATTGTCAATTGTAAGAAAGTGTAGAACAAGCGTATAAGAAAGATAAAGACAACAAGAACTGAACGAGAGAACGATGGAAAAAAGGCAACCAATAAAAATATCGATATAGCATAATGGGAAAATATCCAATCGTAAAATGATCAACTACAAACAATAACCGTTTTAATAAAAGTGCAACGGCAAAATGATGTCGTTGTTCATAATCATTTCGGGTAAAGAAAGTTCAGTTTATTCCCATCGACCAATAGATTGAGAAAATAAAAACCCAAAGTTGAACTCTTTTTTTATATTCTTTCATATTTTTCTCTTTTTCGTTTTCACCATTTCAATCTCTCTCTCTCTCTCTCTCTCTCTCTCTCTCTCTCTCTCTCTCTCT